TCAGGCCACCACGGTTAGGCTTCATCTGATACGGAGCGGGAAGTCATCAAAGGCTCTTGAGCAGAAAAGTGGCCTAATTAAGTATGTGTTCTGGGAGGCAAACAGGGTAGAGGTGGAGGAGAAAGAGATTAGGAGCAAAGGCTGAGAGCATGCACGTGCCACCCCTGTACCCCTCCTTTCCTGATGCCATGTGCCAGTCAGCGCCTGCTCAGCCCACCAGCCCTGTGGTCTGTCGGGGGGGGGGAGGAAGAGCTCCTGAGGGTGAGTCTGTGGTCGATCTCAGACTGTGGGACTTTTCCCCCTAGACACATTTTTCTTCACTTTCTCCAACTTTCTGCTGCTCAGAAAATGACACTGGAGTCCACCGAGCGGCTCCATCGGTGGTTGTCACTGCTGTTGCTGAATATCATGGGGTTGGTTCCGACTCATAGCAACCCCCAGCCTTTACATTTCGAACTGCTGACCTTGCATTTAGCAGCCCAATGTCCTACTGTCATACTCTCAGCTTCAGGCACTTGGTAATCTCTTACCCAGGCCACTGTGGCAGCCACCTGACTGGTCTCCCTAGCTCCAGTGGAACGTCGCATCAGGCCTTCTTGGAGTCGAATCCGATGTGTAGACGCCCACGTTGGCTCTCGGAACTTGCACTAGGAAAGCCAAACTTCTGATCTCAGTGTCTCCTCCTTTGGGCCCTTTGGGCCTCCCTGGGTCTACCTTCCCAATCCTACCATTCATGTCTCAGCTGGGCCTCTCTCGTGGCTGGAATTCTTCTCCCCACATGGTTCACTAAAGCCTGTCCCCCTCCAAACCCATCTGAAACATCCCTCCTCTGGCTGCCCCTCTGCGAAACCTCGGTATGTGGTGTGCACCTGAACCCTTTTTCCCTGAGCCGCAGGCAAGAGATTGAGCCGGCTCCACCTTTGCTTCCACACTGCCATGGCCTTCTCTCCTGTGTGGCCTTTCTGGCCTGGAGTTTTGTTATTCATTGAAAAATAATTGGTTGTAACAAGCGGCCATCTAGCTCAGAAACAACAAAGCCCACATGGAACAACATGTGTGATCACG